TAGTTCTAAAGATTAGAAAAAGACGAAGAGTAAGTTGAACCGAGATTAAAGTTAATCTATATTGGTGGAAATGGGCATAATAATGTTCCATTGAACCGCACTAAACCTGCACTATTACTGCACTAGTGCAGTTTTCATCTAAACCTAGCACGGCGCTCCGCGCTAGTGCTGCACCAGCGCTTTCCCAATGGAAAACGCTATGAGTGGAGTCTCCTTATATCTCACTTCATAGTTCATGATTCTTGGCATTCTTGTCGATTCTCGTAGTTTATGATTTGTCAGGCGAAGAGAGGTTAGAGTTTCCTTTACCGCACGGAAGAATGGCCGATGAGTAAGTAACTTTGATGGCTCGAAAAATCCGATTGCATCAGCCGACAATATGATTTCGCGAATGTACAAATGTTGTATTAGCAATTGTTTATGTTGCATGCGTATTAGCAAATAAATATTTTTACTTTAAACATATAACAAACGGGATTATCAACCGGAAGTTTGCGAGCACATAGTTGCTTCTCACCGCGCGATAATGTCGTTATTATTTACACATATCCGAAAAAAAGACTGTTTTCCATTGATCAAAACTCATTTTGCTATTTAGACGTTTGTATTTTATATGAAAGCTGAAAAATACTGCAATCAATATTACCTAACTCCGGCGAGTTTATGTGGTTAACAAAACATGTGTACCATTTAATGAGGGGGTAACCACTAGCTGAAATATTGTTCCACAAATTATATGATTTCATACAATTTTATCTGATCACAAATAATTTTCTTCACTATATATATGTGAAGTCATTTGGTAAAATAAACGATTTTATCTGATTTTTCGTAATTGCATATGTAATTATCAGATTATACATGAGGATTTCATATAAATTTTATAATGATTTCAGGAACATTGTCCCACAATTACACATTGAGTGATTACCCCTTCACTATTTAACAGACACAATATATCTCTAATTCTTTATTATGCTCATAGTATTTCTAACGTGATTGTACTTGTCTTATTTAGGAAGAAAGAAACTGTCCCACCAACAAAAAAATTGCCGGCAGTGCCGGAGTCGGTGTTAAAGAGAAAAAAACACCGCGAGGCAGTGAAAGCTGCGCGTTTACAAGTCTCCATCAAGGTAATTCTGTTTTATGTAAACAATTTGAGAGCGCATTCCTTTCTAAAGCCTTGTGTTTATAATGCTAGACATTGCTCCAAGATCTCGAGAAAAAATTAATAGATACTATTTAACTATTGACAAATGTAATTAGTTAATTTTTTCTCCATCTGAAATTTTAAAGTGATTTTTTTAGCATTGTGGACACATTATCGTTTCACGACAAGAACGGTATATTTTTTAATGTAGAAAAGAAATGATGAGACCCATGTGACAAGCTGATTTTTATTTTGCAACAGCAACGTGCAGATCGCTATAAAAAGAGAAAGCAGATTTTCAAAAGAGCCGAGGAGTATGTGAAAGAATATAGGCGAAAGGAGAGGGATGAAATTCGATTGATGAGACAAGCTAAAAACCGTGGAAATTATTATATTCCTGGTGAAGCACGTCTTGCATTTGTTACCCGTATTCGAGGGTAAGTGTATGAACATGTTTTTCTTAACACAAATTATGCCTTTTTTGAAGACTCGATTTAATAATAACATTGCAATCGGTTAGTACTGATAGTACAATCGTAATTAACATTTTATTAAGTTAGTACTTGATGTAATGTTAATAATGATTGTAACATGATTTTTCATGCAATCACATTATTACATCAAATTGTTAAGTTAATGATTGTAATGTTACAATTTTTACAGTGTGAACCAAGTTGCTCCTAAAGTACGAAAGGTATTGCAATTGTTCCGTCTAAAACAGATCAACAATGGTGTTTTTGTGAAATTGAATAAAGCGACAATCAATATGTTACGTATTGTCGAGCCTTATATCACATGGGGTTATCCCAATTTGAAATCAGTTCGTGAATTGATCTACAAACGAGGCTTTGCCAAGATAAACAGGCAACGCATACCGATCACAAGCAATTCCATTATTGAGAAGAAACTCGGTTAGTAAAGCATTTTCTAATACTAATTCAAATGAACAATCAATGATCACTAATAAAATAATGAGATACGACTAGTGTGCATATTCTCGGCAAATAATTTCTTGACAAATCCATGGGAGTCTTGGAAACATACACATTCTTCTTTCCATTTTGTCAGAAATTAATAAAGCAATTTTTTCTTAGCCTGACTATATAATAATTGTATAGTCAAGTGAAAAAAATTGATACAAAAACTATAATAATTTATATATATATGATACCAGAGTTGGGCATATATTTGAAATACTTTTATTTAAAACGCACTATTTGCAATACAAGCATATTTTGTATTTTTTATTTTAACGCATCACATAAAAGTATTACATATTTTGTATTTAAAATCGAAAGATTGAAAGCTTTTTGTATCTTGTAATTTAAATAATAAGGATAGTATCAGTTAGTATTTGAAATACAAAATACAAAATACTTTCATAATCTTTTGTTATTAATACTAAAATATAAAATACAAAATACTTTTATATGTGCTCCCATGAAATACAAAATACAAAATATTTTCATGTACTCTGAACAAACACAAAATACAAAATATAATTGTCTTACCAATACTATTTTTCAAATAAAAGTATTTTAAATACATGCCCATCTCTGTATAATACATAATGTATATATGTGTGTATCGCTTACTCACAATAGCATAGCTTAAAAATTATATTATATACTGGTTATAATATAATCAGTTATAACATTAAAATTACTTTTCAAAATTAATATTACCAAAGTTTAATAATTCAAAATATTTTAATTTATTTTCTGAAAAATTTTTTGCGTTGTATCTTAACAAATAAGTGATATGTAATTAGTATGTAAGTTGATTTGTATCGATTAGGAAATAATTTATCAAAAGGAAAATTTTATTTTGCCCTTAGGTCGATCTAATATCATTTGTACCGAGGATTTAATCCACGAGATATTTACTGTTGGTCCGAAATTCAAATACGCCAGTAATTTCCTATGGCCCTTTAAGGTATGCGCTTTTCAAGGTGTAAAAAAAAAGATACTATATACAATATTTATCGATATATTTTCTTTACGACATAGGCATGGTTATAGATTAATCTAAAGCTATAAACTCCCTATTATGTCGAAAAACAATACGAGTTTTTCTTACGACGGATGATGTCTGTTAATATCATCAATCTAAGACAAGCTCAAACACTTGCGTTTATTTAACAACAAATTTTTTATATCCTGATCGCTTTAGCATATATTTTTTCAGAAACGTTACATCTATATAAAAAGTCATTTCTCTGTTTCTAGCTTAATACTCCAAATGGTGGATGGCGTAAGAAGACCAATCATTATGTAGAAGGTGGTGATTTTGGGAACCGAGAGGATAAAATCAACGAGCTTCTCAGAAGGATGATATAAGTTTATAAAAATCTTCGTAAATAAAAATATATCCTCTAATTAAATTCTTGTGTCATATTATTATTATTCACATGCACTTGATTAATATTTTCATACATATATAAAAGTCAAAAATACTGGAAAATATTAAATTTACTGAAAGAGAAAATAGTATTGTCAAATCAAAATAAATCTAGGCAAATACACTTGCAATGTGTTTGCCACTGCAAAAATCTTGCAATAAATGTTGAAGGAATAAGGTTTATATACAGGATGTCCCAGAATGACAATATGACCAAATATTTCGTGTGCTGTTAGAGCGGATTAAACTGAATTGAAAAAAATAGTTAACAGGATATTGGTTACCAAAAATCGCCAAATATTGATTTTTTTATAATTTTTTACTTAAGTATTACTTCACAAAAAAATGGCAAGAGACAAGAATGGTTTATTTTCTTCTTATAGAGCTCTAAGAATTTTTTCAGAATTTTTTTATTAACTTTTTAGTACTGCATTTTCTTATTGACATCTATTTTTACCAACATGAGAAAATGCAGTACTAAAAAATCCCGAAAAAATTCTTAGAACTTTATGAAAAGAAAATAAACAATTTTTGTCACTTGCTATTTTTCTATAAAGATGATAGTATTTGAGTAAAAAATTATTGAAAACTAATATTCGGTGATCTTTGGTAATTAATATTTTGTCAACTATTGCGAAAATTGCAAAATGGTGGAAGACTTTTCGACTCAGTTTAATCCACTGTATCAGCATACGAAATATTTGGCGATCATTCTGAAACCCTTGTGTGTGTATATCTATATATATATATTTTTTTTTTCATATTTAACAAATGTGAACAACATGAGGAAAATAGATCTGTTCTTTCTAATTAAGCCTGCAATTAATCTTTCCTCTTTTTCTCTGAAAAGAAAAAGAAATAGATGAATCGTGTAAGAAATTCAGTTAAAAAAGAATGCATTCCAGAGCGTTCATGGAGGCACTGCCGAGATTCGAACCTAAGCGGCTTAGGCCTCTCCCCTCACTAAGCCGTCACTTTACCATTGTGCTATAACTGAACTGGCGGCATTTCGCTCACTGCGAGTTGCATAAGTTGATCAATATCGCGCCATTTTCGGCGAGGCGTGCGTTTGCTGTTTACGTGTGTGTACGCAGTTTAAAAAAGTAAAACGCGCAACATCTATACAAAAAAACAAAGAATTTGTTATTTATCGCAATTTATCGTATAATGTGGTAAGTAACTTTAACGTTAGTTAAGAAAAAAATCGGAACGAACGACACATATAACCTATTTTTGTTGTCCGTTCACATTGTGAAATGATGAGAAATCGAAAATTTTTCAATTATTGGTAACAATACAACTACGAAAATTATAAAACTTTAGTAGGGGACAATCGCGAACACAGGTAATGAGTTTTTCATAACGGAATGTTCGAATGTGCTTTTAGAGTTCTAGACAGGAGATTAGATTCCAATCTCGAATCGTTCCACGTTCGAATCCCCGGAATTTTCCTTGTTTTTCCCTCATTTTTTCTCCGTATTTTTTGTCATCGAAATGTCTCGAGATGAAACTCGAGAATGTGATTAAAAACATTAAAATTATAATTAAAGTTATAATAATTATTTGCAGATAAAATTGAACTTCCTCGTCTCACATGATGTAGAGAGTCAATTTTTACAATTGCTTCTATCATCTTTTACCCTGCGAAAGAGAGGAGTGATATGTCGCTTAAAAAAAGTAAATGTGTTTCTAAAAAAACAGCATATGATGAAGCAGCTAAGAGCGATTCAAGTATGTTTCCTCCTTGCTTTGAGAAGTTGAAGAGCATTAGTGATGCAGCTAGTTGTAAGTATATTATTTTCTAAAGTTATTTTTAAGGCAACATCGATAATGATATCTTCAATTTTTTAATTTAAGCATCTATCTCGAACAAAAACATTGTATTATCAGAAATTGATAAGAAACATAATGAATGTCCTGGCATCAAAAACAACAAGTGCGAAAGTAGATCCATTATTCTAGAGAGTTATGTACAGGAAAGACTATTGCTTCATAGTAACAATTTTATCAGAATAGGAGTTAACAAATCTGACAATTTGGAGCAGAAGATACATATAGAAAGAGAGAATGCAATGGAAAGTGAAACAAATTCAAATAGAAATAAAGTACCTGAATCTTATAAATTAGTTACTCTACAAAATACAGCATGTGAAACTGAATTTGTACCTGAATATCCTACTAAAAAAGAAAATTTAGATTATACATCAAATATACAATCTCGAAAAAAACTTTTGTTCTCAATTAAGCCAGGAACATCCATGGAAGCAAAAAGTACAGATATCTTGGTGGCATCCAGAGACAAAAGTATAAGTTCGTTACATCAATCATGCACAATAGAGGATAATCCTCGTGGAAACAAAACCATACCTGATCCAAATGAAAAAGATTTCCAGCGGGACAAAATGAATGATGTCATTGTATCAAATAATTTTTCCCGAAGTTTAACTGACGATAATATCTTGTCGATCAAAATACAAAATCAAATTGTGAACGAACAGCATATTACTTTATCAGACAAGAGAACTATAACGAAAAAGCAAGAAATTGAGGAAATCAAGAATGGAGTAACTGTACTACCAGCTAAACCAACAATATCACTGCGCACAAATTTGAAAGCTTCTATCGAAGATAATAATAAAAAGTCGAAATTAATTAAAGTTGAGAATAAATTGACAAATTTAATGCAATCATTTGCAGGAAGAACGCAATCGACGATAGTAGATGATAGTAACGATTTAAAGTTGACAGAAAAATATACAGAGCTTGTACATTCAATTAAGCAACAAATTTCATCTGACGAAGATATGAATAGGACGTTTATATCTAAAGCAACGGATGAAAGTGATTTATTTAAATCATCATTTTCATCCGTTGAGAATAATGCAGCACATCGGGATACATCTATGGCAAGTGAGATAAATGTAGAACATGACGAACAAAGCCAGTCATTTACAGTACAAAATATCAAGAGAAAAAGAGGTAGACCTAAGAAAGTGATAGATAGTTCTACAGATCAAATCACGCCAAAGAGATTAAGAGATGATGATATATTACGAGAGATTCCTAAAATTAGCACCGAATCCATAACACATGATAGAAGACGTGCTAGTAAAATTAGATTTGATATCAGTATGAGCGATGACACTGATACTGCGGAAGAAGAAATTTTCGTCGTCAAGAAACGAGGTCGACCACCTGGTTCAAGAGGCTGGGGTCGAGGACGTGGTCGAGGACGCGGTCGAGGACGCGGTCGAGGACGCGGTAGAGGAACATTACAAAATTTAGATACCGAATACACTCCTAGATTAACAACGACAAATGTTTCTCAATCAGCAATGGAGGAGAGTAACGAAATAGATGACACAGGTGCAACAAGTTGTATAGTGAATACCGAAGACGCTATTACAGATTCGAATGTTACACGTATTGAAAAAGCCGTAGGTTGCAGTATATTTTAATGATTTATGCTACAGCATATCACAATTAAAATATGAGTAATTCAGTTAAATATCCTTTACTTATAGATACAATTGGTAACTTGTGCTAAGTGCGATCAAGAAGTACCGAAGAAACAATGGTCATCACACAATTTACATCATCATAATAACATGGCTTGGCGAAAAGATGATGAACCATTGGTAATAAAATATGTTTAATAAAGCATTCTTTGTAGATCTTGTACTATTAATAAAAATTTATATAAAAAGTAAATTTGTTTATATGTACAGGATTTCGAAAATGATGTAAAATTGTTGAAGAGATTATTAACCGCTGCTCTTAAGCAAAAAAAGAAATTTCTAATTTGTGAAAAATGTAAGGCTACGAGGCGAAGTGTCGATGGTTTTATATCACATATGCAATTTTGTGGTAAATCGGAAGAAGTAAGCAGAAAAAGCATCGTATTTATTATATGTTACATATATGCAAATATGTGGCACTTTTTTCCTAAAGGTTTTTTTTTTTTACCTATTTTATTATTATAGGAAAGGCAAGCGTTAATGGTGACATGTCCCATTTGCTACGCAAGTATGATGCCTTCCTCTGTGGAAGTACATGAACGTTACCACAGGCAACTAGAACAGAACAAAATTAAAGAAGCAGATCTACAACTAGAAAGAACTAAACGGAAAGCAGCAGAGAAGTAAATACAAAATTTTAATTAAAAGTTGCTTCAATTATACACTTATTAATGTATACGTATGTATGTAGAGAATTGGTGTAAAAAAAATACATAGTTGCTTATAATTAAAAAATTATCCATTTTATAGTCATATTTTTTAAAAGTAACTATGTATTTTTTTATACCAATTGAATCATCTCATTATTCTGTTCATAAAAGTATTAAGGTACGATTATAAAAAAAATTAGTAATTTACGAGTTATTTAACATTTTATCTCAATATGCGCCAGAATAAAGTATAAAATATCTCGTAAACTATTGATTTTTCGATACTTAATCTTAATACTTTTATACGTAGAATAACTAGAGGAATCATATTACGTAAAAAATTATATAATTCCATTTTTTTTTTAAATGAAGTTGAAATTGCCTTGAAATTTCTGAAGCGCCTCCACCTGGACAAAAATTATTATCACCATATAATAGACCTCTTCATATCGTGCAATTTTGGTTATACAAACTTTCCTCTAGACCTTATAGATTCGAAGATATTTCAAGTGCTAATAGTTATTGGGACATCCTGTATACAGGGTGTTAAAAAAAAGTCAAGACCCCGGAAGGATGACGATTTTGAAAGAAATGTTTCAGACAAAAGTAAAGTACAAAAAGATCTTTATACAAATTTTATTAGTTTGATCTCGGGTGGCGTCGCCAAGGTGCGTAAAAATGAATTTTTACTGCGCGCAAAAATGAAAATAAGAGGAATAATCTCTAATAGCCTTGATTTTAACAAATGTTTTATCCAGGACATAATCCTGAACAACATTCAAGAGGTTTTAGTCGTCGATCGAACTTTGCGTAAT